TACTCATTTGATTTTTAGATTTAATTGTTGATAGATATGTATTTGTTGCCACTTTGTTGTTCATAATTTTTATCTTCTTCTTCTTCCTCTTCTTCTTAAAGAATACCCTTCAACATTTTTTATAATACTGGTTTGATGAACCCCTTTAGCTTTTTCTTGTCTGTGAAGCTCTTTATCTGACCTTCAATTCTAAATGATACCTTTTCTTGGTAGAGTAATCTTGGTTGTAGGTCTTTGCTATTCATCACTTTGAATATTTCTTGCCACTCCCTTCTGGCTTGCATAGTTTCTGCTGAGAAATCAGCTGACAGTTGTATAGGCACTCCCTTGTAGGTAACTAACTGCTTTTCTCTTGCTGCTTTTAAGATTCTCTCTTTGTCTTTAGCCCTTGGCATTTTAATTATAACGTGTCTTGGTGTGGTAATCTTTGGGTTCCTCTTGTTTGGGGTTCTCTATGCTTCCTGGACATGTAAGTCTATTTCTTTCACCAGGTAAGGAAGTTTTCTGTCATTATTTCTTCAAATAGGTTTTCAATATCTTGCTCTCTCTCTCCTTTTGGCACCCCCATAATTCGGATGTTGGTACGCTTGAAGTTGTCCCAGAGGCTCCTTACACTGTCTTCATATTTTTGGATTCTTTTATCTTTTTGCTCTTCTGGTTGGGTGTTTTTTGCTTCCTCACATTTCAAACCATTGAGTTGATTCTCAGGATCCTCTGGTCTACTATTGAATCCCTGTATATTATTCTCTATTTCAGTCAGTGTATGCTTAATTTCTGACTAGTCCTTTTCTATTTTGGGGGGATTTCTAGAAGATTCTTGAGTAACCTTATAACTGTGGTTTTGAACTCTATATCCAGTATTTTGCTTTCTTCCATTTCTTTCATTTGTGACATGTTTCTTTGTCTCTGCATTTTGGCTGCTTCCCTGTGTTTGTTTCTATGTATTGGCTAGCTGCTAAGTCTCCTTGAGTTTGCTTATAACTGTGGGTTTGAACTCTATCCAGTAATTTACTTTCTCCCCTTTCTTTCATTTATAACATGTTTCTTTGTCTCTGCATTTTGGCTGTTTCCCTCTGTTTGTTTCTATGTATTGGGTAGAGCTGCTAAGTCTCCTTGAGTTGATAAAGTGGCCTGGTGTAGTGGGTGTCCTATAGGGCCCATTGGCTCAGCCTCCCCAATCACCTGAGGTGGACATTCTAGGTACACCCCTTTGTGGACTGTGTGCACAGTCTTGTTGTAGTTGAGCCTTGATTGCTGTTGGTGTCACTGGGAGGAATTGACCTCCAGGCCAATTGGCTATGGGGACCAGCTGTGACTACAGTGGGAGAGCTGCTGTGCAGAAGACACCTTTATGGAGCATGACTTGCTTCAGTGAGGTTTTTGTGCTCACTGAGTCTTCCCCTTGAGTGTGTCACTTATGGATAATCTGGTATGGTCCTACACTGACCACTGGGTACACTGATCTTGGGTCTCCAGGAAGGTGCAAAGTCAGCCACTGCCTGGGGTCACCCAGCAGCTACAGAGAGATCTGTAGATTCCTCCTCTTTGTATTGGGTTTGAAAGTGCCCAGACGAGGCCCAGCTGTGAAGCAAGGCAGGCTAGTGCTGGTGCCTGGTCTTGGGCCTTTTATTGATACCAAACCAAACCAGCTTCAGCTTGTTTGACAGGTTTTAGCTTGAGCAAGGACAGGCTATTCATATGCAAAAGCTGCTGCACTCAGCTTGGGTGGGGTTATAAATTGGATGGGGCGGGGTCTCAGGGAATCTTCAGGGCAAAGCAAATAGAAATGGCTGCCAGTCAGCCCTGCAACTGGGGAGATCCCAGCATAGGAACAATGACCACTGTGAGCACCTCCACTGGAAGAAAGCAGCCCCCAAGTTCCTGCCCTGCAATGCCAGACAGTCCAGTTCCTCCTTGTATGTGTCTGGGTCCCCCAGAGCTTCACCCAGCACTGGAGCTCCGAGGAAGCTGGAGCTTGTAAGTTCAGTTTGTGTGCCAGCCTTTTAAGAGGAACAACTGTGTCTCCAGCAGCCTCTGTGTCTCTGAGCCCCAATCCCCACTGGTTTTTACAGCCCATAGTTCTTACTGACCATAAGGACTTCTTTTCCCAGCTCTGGGATCCTGGGCTGGGGGTCTGGTGTAGGACTGGGATCCCTTGCTCTTCTGGGCGGCCTCTGCAGAGATGGTCTCCCTCCTGATTAAACAAGCAGCACACGTGGGTGCTGGACCAGCCTGTCCTCGCCTCTGCACCTGCTACCAGTCTCAGTGTGCTTTTTCTTTACTTTTCTAATTGTAGGACTTCCATTCAGCCAGCTTTCTGGCGATTCTGGATGATGGTTGTTCTGTATTTTAGATGTAATTTTGATGTGGTTGTGGGAGGCAGCAAATACAGGCATTAGCCACGTATCCATCTTGATCTCTTATCCCCTGACTATTGATGCCTGCAAGGTGTTCAGCCATATGGGAAAGTTTTCACATATTGAGTGACCTCCTACTTTTGAACATTAAGTTGTTAGTGTTTTTCCAATATTATGCCAAGATTATCTTTATACATAAATGTGTTAATGCATCTCTAACTTTTGCTAAATTTATATCCCTAGAAATAAGTTATAATGTATTTTGATCATTTATTGTCCTTGCAACACATATACACAATCACATGATCGCTTTTCTGACAAGAACTAGAACACGTGTTCACTGCAGTACTCTAGGAAAATATAGAAAAACACAGAGAAGGAAATTAAAGTCACCCATAATCCTACCTTCTTCACGTTTGGGGATGCATTCTTCTTGTTTTATTCCTGTGTTCGGTTTGCTTGTGAACACCCACCCACACTCACATTCAGAGACACTGCGCTATGAATTGTGAGCCTGCTGGAATACCGGGGAGTGCGAGGTGGGCGGAGAGAGGCGGATTTATTTGTCCACTTTTTAAAACATTCACTATTTACAAAATTTTTTCAAAATGATTGAAACAACCCAAATACCCATCCACTGGTGGTGAATGGGTAAATAAAATGTGGTAGACCCATAGGAAGTAATATTACTTACCAACAAAAAGGAATGGAGAGCTTACACGTGCTGCAACAAAGATAAATCTCAAAAGCATGATGCTGGGTGAAAGAAGCCAGATGCAGAAGACCACAAATTGCATTATTCTAGCATCGTTCCATTTATATGAAATGCCCAGTAAAGACAAATCTCTAGAGGCAGAAAGTAAATCAGTGGTTGCCGGGGTCGGGGGTGAAAGCAATGATGGAGTGTAAGTGGGCACGAGGGAGCTTTGGGGTGATGGAAATGTTCAGAGACTGGGTTGAAGTGATGGTCACAAAACTCAGCACATTTTCTAAACATCACTGTGCATTTAGCATGAGGTGAATTGTGTGGGATTTCTTAAATAATACCTCAATAAAGTTTATTTTTAAAATGAATAAAGGAACAAAACTAAAGTTTTATTTGGAAAATATAGAAAAGCACAAAGAACAAAATCTCCTTCCTTCCATTACTTTCTTGCTCTTTAATCTTTAATCCATCTGGAACTTACTTTGATATGTGGCTTAAGATTAGAATCTAACTTAAATTTCTTCCTAATCATTGAATAATTGTCTCAGTACAATTCCTGAATAATTCATCTTTTACCTACTAATTGGAAATAGCCACCTTTATTATATCTTATATGCTTATCTCTACTTGAATCTCTTTCTAGGCACTTTTTATCTCATTCTGTTGATCTATCTGTGTTTTCATGTACCATAAGGAAGGACATAGTTTTAATTATTTTGGCTTTATGATACATTTTAAATCTGGTGGTGCAAGTCACCTCTCATCTCTTTTTAGACCGTTATCGCCTGTTTAGTCTTCCAGATGCATTTTAGAGTCACTTTGTCAAGTAAAAGAAATATCCTTCTATGATTCTAGTTGGAATTGAATTAAACTGAAAATCTAATTTGGAGAAAACTGACACCTCTACTCTTGAATCTAAATATCCAGGAACATGACATGCCTCCTCATTTAAGTCTACTTTTATCTCTCTCACTTACGGTGTTTTTCTCATTTCTATTACTAGGGATTACACACTTATTATGTGGTTTGTTGTTAGTTATTTAATATTTTGTTAATATTGTAAAGGATATTATTTTGCCATTGTTTACATACTGGTTGTTGCTTATATAAAGAAACACTTAATTTGTGCTAACTGGTTCTTTAAATGGAATCATCTTCTATTTCCTACTAGTTTTTATGCTTAGGGATTATTTTAAGGTTTTTATTTAAGGAAGGCATATATATCATTTTCAAATAAAAAAAATTTTCTTTCAAAGAGGTATGCTTCTAAATTCTTTTTCTCTCTTATTTCATTGATTAATGGTGTAGTGTGAATTCTTCCCCTCCCCCTTTTTTTCTTTAATGAGAATGTCTTCAGTGTTTCACCATTTGTGAGATATTAAAAACTGATTTGAACTAAAGATGCTTCAAGGAATTATCCTTCCGTGTGCTAGTTGATTAAGCATTCATAACAGCAGTAAGTATTGGGTTTTACCAAATGCCTTCCTGTGTTTTGTGAGTTGGTCATACTTTTGTTTCCTGTAAACTATTGATGTGATGGAATGACATTCATAGATTTCTTTATATTGAAGCACACTTACATTCCTGGAATATAACTCTGCATGGTCATGGTATGTCATCCTTGTAATATTCTGGTAGATTCTACTTGCTAGCACTCTATTGAGAATTTTCATAGCAATATTAATAAGTTGGTGATTTTATTTTGGCTCTGTTTGTCAGTCTCTGTTATCAGGAGTTTGCTAGCTGAGTGAAATGAACTAGGAGGATTTTCATATTTCTTATGCTCCAGCACAATTTCTGTACATGGGAATTATCTAGGATGTTATTGAACACTTGGGAGGGGGGAGCTTGTCCATAAAACTTTCTGAAGTCAAGCATTTTTAGTAGCACCCTTTCCTTCCCCAGCACATACATTCAATTTTACTTATCTCTTGCAGGAGGAATCTTTGAGTATGCAGACGGTCCCAACGCCCAGGTCATGAATGCCAAGGAGCATGCCTTTCGATTTTCTGCCAACATCATCAACAGGAACCGGACTCTGCTGCCCAACACTACCTTGACCTATGACATCCAGAGGATTCACTTCCACGATAGCTTTGAAGCCACCAAGAAGGGTGAGTGTGCTGCCCTGTCTGCTCTCTTCCCTGCCTGAGCAGGGTGGGCGTTTGCTGTCCAAGGTGCTGAAAATACTCCAAAGTTTTGGATGGGCTTGAGGCTTAGATCCTTTTCCCATCCGGCTTCGAGACCTGTATCAGTCCCAGTTCACTTCAGGATGAGTCACCCCAGGGACAGTAGGTTGTCCGTCAGGAGTTCCCATGCCACTGTCAGGGGCCAGGAGGGAATGAGGGCCATGGGAGCATGCGGGGGGTAGAGTATGAGGGGTGAAGGGGTGGGCCTGAGATGGGGCTGAGGAGCTAGCAGTATGGAGGGCAGCCCAGGTCTCAATGACACCTCTAAACTGAAGACATTTTCAAACTTGTCTTTATTTCATTGAACTTCTACCCAGAATATAAAAAATTGAAATGCATATAAAACAGAATATGTATAAGTTAAAATATGCAACATTTATTTGCCATAAAAAGACTTACTAAAAACAGCAAATCTGCTTCTATGACTTCAACAATTTGACCCCAGAGGCTATGGATGACATTGACCTCAGCATTCAATGTTTTCATATTTTGTTTGGGCTACAAAATAACAAGAAAATTGTAATTCATAAAAACAGGTGGTAGTAAATTCAATCAGCTTTTCCTACACCTGAATTTTAAAAAAAAAAGAATTTTACTATTGGGCATCATTCTTCTTCATCAGTGAGACATTTACAGTAAACTTCAATCACTGCACAGAAGAGACTGGAGAATTTTATTCCAGGGGGAAAAAGGTAACTTATCAATACCTGAATGAAATAGCAGTTTCCAGTGTGGCACATTTGAGTATACAAGTATGCTCTCTTGTTACTGTGTTTAAAAATATGGTCCATATACATATTTAATTGAAGTTTAACTTAAAGGCTTAGATAACCCTGGAAATAATTTCCATAGAACCCTTGAGTTCCATGGAACTTCATTTTAAAATCTTAGGTCTAAGGACTCTCATCCCCAGGATAGAATAGGTCATCCTTCCTATAATACACTATCATAGCCCCTTGCTTTTCTTCTTCAAGGCTATTATCACAATTAATAGTTAAATAATTGTGTGTGTTTAATGTCTTTTCCTTTCTCTCCAACAACATGAAGGGAAGGCTTCCTCTTTTTAACCAATATAGCCCTGGCAACTGAAAGCCTGGTGTGTAGTTAGTGCTCAATGAAATGATCATCAAGTGAATCAATGAATGAATGGCGTGAGAACAGGAAATGGGAGTTTGAGCAAGAACTCTGTCAGTTGAGCTTAGGGACAACATCATCCGTATATCTTGGGAAAATTTAGGCCCATCTACAGGGCACCCTTGGTCTTTCTAATGGATTCCCAGTCGCTAATGAAGGTTTCCTGAGTTCCCAGGAGCAGATTTGCCAAAGCTATCTGCTGCTGGCTCTGTTTACCCACAAAGCACCATTGTGGGTAAACATTTCAGCATACAAGAGCAGAGAGGCATGGGCTTGCAGCCAGACTGCCTGGATTTGTGATATTAGTTGTGTGATCTTAGTCATCATTGGAGCCCATATGGGCATGTGCAGTCTAGCTCCAACATGACCTTCCAGCCACATCCATACTACTCGCTAGCTCGGCCTCTGGGTTCTAGCCATACCTGCCATCTGCAGGTGCCAGGCTTCCTCCCACCTCAGGGCTTTTGCACATGCTATGCCCTCTGCTTGTAATTCCCTTTCCCTTATAAGTCCCACCTCTGCACTTCCCTTTGTCTAGCTAGCTCATCCTTCTCTCAAACCTCTGGGCCTTAGGGCAACCCTTCTCTTGCCCCCAGATAAGGTCAGCTCTCCCACTTCTATCTTATAACACTCTGGACTTTTCTTTCACAATTCTGAGCCCTGGGGTGTGTGTGCGTGTGCGTGTGCGTGTGCATGTGAGTGTGTGTGATTATCCATCTATTCTGCCCTTTGCCTTTTCACTGCTGTACTTAGTACCATTGCTCAGACTTCTGCTCCCACGCACTAGTTTTGCCTAGTTTTGACCTTGACATACATAGAATCTTTTTTGAGTCTTGCTTCTTTCACCCTATGACATATCTGTGAGATTCATCTGTTGTTGAATCTTTTGTTGAACCTATTGTTCTTCAGTGTTGCATAGCATTCCATTATACGAATATACCCCAGTTTTTCAAAATAAAAAAATAACTGTTGGGCATTTGAGTTGTTTCCATTTGTGGCCGTAGAATAGCACCGTAGGTGTCTCTTGGTGTACCAGTGTGCACACTTTTTGTCGGATGTGCACCTAGGATTGGAAGTGTGAGGCCATAGGATGTGCAAACAGCCCAACGGCTTTCCCAGGTTGCCGCACCGATAGGCACTCCCTCGGCGGTGGATAGCACTCACCTGGCTCCACATCTTTACCAACTCTTGGTAAATCACTTTTCTTTTCACTTTGGCCTCTGGGTGGTTTCTATAGTAGGCATCTCATTGTGGTGTTGTTTTGTATTTCCCTGATGACCAGAGAGGTTGGGCATTTTCTCATATGCTAACAGATCATTGGAATTTCTTTTTGTCCCTAGAGTGCCTTTTTGAGCCTTTCAACCACTTTCAAAAATCCAGTTGCCTGTCATTGTCTTATTGATTTGTGCAAGTCTTTGATAAATTCTGGATAAGAGCCTTGGTTAAACGTACATGTGTATTGCCTATATCTATGACAAATGACGTTGCCTGTTCACTCTCTTAGCAGTATCTTTGGAGGAGCAAAGTCCTCCATTTAGAGAAGTCCAATGTATTGATATTTCTCATTATGGTTAATGCCTTTTGTGTTCTGTCTCTGTCTGTCCCAAGGTCAGGAAGACATTCTCCTAGTTTCTCTGCGAGAAGCCCTCTGGTTTTGTCTGTCCCGGTTAGCTCTGTGATCTGCCTCAGATCAATGTCTCCCGTCTGGTGGAAGGTAGGGGTCGAGGTGATTTTTCCCTGCACCAAGCTGCTGGGAGTGAGGACTGCTTCAGCTGCTCAGGAGGGCTCTGTGGAAGTATCTACTGAAGCTAAATGTGTGCCTGCAAGGATGTTCCTAGCCACTTTATTAATAGTAGCCAAAAGTGGGAAATAAAGACCTCCAAGAGCAGGAGAATGGAAAGATTTTGGGTATAGTTATACAAAGGTATTAGAATCAGCAATAGAAAAAGAACAAACTCTTGCTATGCCCAACGTCGTGAATGAACCTCACAACTGAGTGTATAAACAGTGGTAACCTCTGGGGGAGGGAGTAGTATACTACTAGTAGTAGGGTATTAACCGGAAGAGGGCAGGGAACACCTTCTTACGTGTTGGACATGTGCTATATTTGATACAAGTAGTAGTTATATGAGTACAGTTCTATGTAAAAATCCATAAAAGTCCGTGCTTAAAATGAATGCACTTCACTATATAATGTTGTTATCTCAATTTTTAAAAAAACAAATAGCTCCTCTCTGCCTTCATTCGCCCTCTATGTCCCTCTGATAATATGCCAAGGATGGACCCGTGCTGTGGTTGGAAACACCACTCTGACCATGGAGGCATGCCTGCTGTTTGATCACGCTCCCCACTGGGCACCCTCCATCCCTTGGGGAGCCCTTATTCTGTGATCTTTATTTTTCCTTTGATCTTTGGCTTTTTTAAATTCTCAGGAGCATCGTTAGGCCTCTTCCAGGAGGGTGATGTTGGGCCTAATTCCAATGAACCCAGTGATAACTCATTCTCCCTAGGCAGGGGTGCCTGTCTGGATCCAGCCATCCCAGGCCATGCGGGTGCGGAGATGCAGAGGCATGGAGCCTGGCACCGCCTGCCCTGCCAGCTCTGGTCGAATTAGTACTTCCCTCCACAGAGGCCCAGGAGGCCTTTCCCCATTAAAAGGGACTTCCACTTATTGTCTTTATTTTTCGATGTTTGGTGGGGAATTAAAAGATAAGTGACTGCCAGGCGGCGCCTGAGCCTGCAACCCAGAGAGCGTCTGTGTTTTCTTCCGAACCCGGCCAGAGTGGACCTGGAATCGACCCAGCACTCCCCAGGCTCCTCTGCCTTCACTTATTCTCTGGGCTGCTCAATTCCTTTTAAGACACAAATTGATTGGGATAATTTTTGCTATAACTACAATTGCCATGGAAAGGAGGAGGGGGAAGTGCATTCAGACTGTGGACTCCTGCAATGACTGTGAACCATTGAGTTACTGTAAAATGACCAGAAAATGGATTTAAAATTGAAGCCACAAATAATGTAATTACTGCAGTGTGTGCACAGGGCTGCCAGAACAAGGGTTGGCTGCTGCCCTGGAAACATCTGGAAATAAAGCTGCTACTGCTGCTGCTGCTGCTGCTATAACCCCTGCCATGGTCCCTTGGAGAAAACAGTGTTCTTTCAGACTGGGAGATTATTAGAGGGTGGAAAGAACATGAAGGGAACAAGAAAAGCGGTGTGAAGAAAGAGCAAGGAGGAGAAATAGGTGAAAGGCAGAACTGATGCCTCCTGCCACCCAATAGTGAGATCTAATCACTATATCTCTGGCAGAATGAAACCCAGTGTGGTCATCATCACATCAACACCACTGTCAACACCAGTGCACCATCAGCAGTTACTGTCATCACCATCAACAATGGTTTCATCTCCACTCTTAGCCTCAACACCTCCATCACCACCCCTACTGTCACCATCACTATTGCTGCCATGACAGGAGCATCTCTATCATCAACAACCCCATCTTCACTAACATTACCGTCATCATTTCTTACCATCACCATCTTCAGTTACAGTCATGGCATTGACATAATCATCACCAATCTTATCAACACCATCAATATTTTTATCCCCTTCCCTCTTATCCATGTTTACATCGCCATGATTATTTCTACCATCATCATCACAGTCACTGTCATGGCATTGACATATTTACCACCATCCATCCCATCATCATCCTACCATTATGTCACAACACCATTGTTACCATTAATTCCACCCTCATTAATGGCATCACCAGGATCAGCAACAGCCCCACGATATGGTCTTCACTGTTATTACTATCATTACAGTTACCTTTACCAGTATCACTACAATCAGTGTCAAAATCCATTGTATAACTATACCCCAATCTATCCATTCTCCTTCAAGATCACTCTTACAATCCTCTACATCATCATAATTTGTGGTTGGTCTACTCTCCCCTACCTCAGTCAAACAGGGATACCCAGACCTTGGACCTGCAGGGGGCCATGATCTAAGAGGTTGAGCTGGATGAGGGTGGGGGTGAAAGGGCGGCATTTGCCTTCCTGCCTCAAGACTTAGATCAAAGGGGGAAATCCAAAACACAGATTCTGGGAGGTGGTAGTGAGAGGAAGTGAGACACACAAGTCATTTGACTAAGTCATCAATCGGAAAGTCCTTGAGGGAAAAGAGAAAGAGTAGAGACAGGAGATGATGGAATGGAAGCCAGGGATATCAGAGGACAGCTAGAAGGTTCAAAACAGAGGCAGGAGGCAGAGCATTAGAGAAACCTGCAGATTCCATCAGGTTCCCAGGCCGTCTGGCTGGGCAAGAAGGAGTGACCAGACCTGGACAGCTGTCACTTCCTCACTGTCACCATCTCCTCCATGTTGGTTTCCAGACTCCGTGGCTCATACATGGTCTCTTCCCCCAGGCAGCACCTGCTCTTAAGGGGACTAAGTGGTGAGAGCAGACACCCACACACCGAGACAGCAGGAGAACAGCATGAATGGGCAGTGAGTACAGGTCAAGGATCGGCTTCCTTGGGACAAAGGAACAATTTACCAACACACTCAGAGTTCCTATTTTTGAAGCATTTATTATCACTGGAGTTTGTCTCTCACACAGTCACCACACAGAGTGCTGCTAAAGTGTATTGCTCTAGGGTGACAATAACAGGGATTTGACCTCCAGTCCCACAGCTATAGGAGCACAGGAAGGCACCAGGAGCCCCACTGTGCATCCTCTCCCGAACTTGGCATTGGCCAAGAGGAGTCTTGGTGACACAGGAAATGCTCTCTGTACAGGCCCCACTACTTCCCATACAGGGTTGCCCTGTCCCATGTTCCAGATAGTTCTGCAGACTGCTAACAATAACCAGCCCACCTCCCAGAGTGCAGTGTCTTTTACGTAAGCCATGAATGGCATTCTCTTGTGTTCTTAGGGGGAAATATTTTCAGGGAAAATAAACACTTTATATACCAGAGTAATATCTCCTATTCCCAGGAAGCAGTGAAGGAGGAAGGAGAACATCAGTGGAGAGGGAAAATACTCAAAGATCACACATTCTCATTGGTTTGAAACTACCTTGTATCCCTGGATCCATTGGTACCACACTTAGGCCAGGCAAGAGGGCCCTTTCCCAAGGCTTGTGCTTTGGAGATGCTGCCCTTGTCTTCTTCTGGTCAACATCTCCTCCCAGAATAGGAGTCAGTGGGACCAAGGGGACTTGCCTATTAAGACCCTGTACCCTGCCCCTTTAATCTTTGCTCCAAGTGTCCAGAACCCTGAATTTCCTGTCCAGTAGCCTGCATGAGCCTCTTTCCTGAGCTGCCCCTACAGAGAGGGAGCCATGCTGCCATGGTTGCATTTGTAGACCCTATCTAATCGTGACATGAGAGAGGTGTGGACAGTCCCTTATGATACAAGGGGGAGCAAGTGGTCAAACAGAAGGGGACAGGATGGGGGTGGTGCCACCTCTCCCTACATTACTGCATATGATAAGTCCCCATCCTCACTTTCCAGGATGTTCTATCCTGACTTTCCAGGTTGTGATGAAGGCATGTTGTCAAGTTGGGGGTGGGGCAGAGCATGTTTTATGTAACAGTTTGTCAGCTTATAACATTTAACTATTTAGCCATATGGTATATGGGCCTCCATTTGTACTCTGTCCCTGGACCCTACAGATGTTAGGGGTGGACCTAAGGCCAGAGGTCATTCCCAGAGGCCCTTGAGGCAGCCAGGATGCATCTGCATCCACTGAGTATCCATGTACTCTGTCTTGCCTTCTACAATCATCTTATGTTCATACATGTGCATGTAGTTCCTTCTCGTGGCCACAGGCTGGTGAGTTTGCTGATGCTCTTCAGTTAGGACTCTTCTGGTTGCAAGTGACAATAACCAAATCCTAACAGGTTTAAGCAAAAAGAGAATGTATTGGTTCATGTCACCAAACTCCAGGCTTCTACTTGATCAGGGCTCATATTTCTTTCTCTGTCTTGGCTTTGCTCATCTCCACATGGACTCTGTTCACAAACGAGCTCCACACTTTTTTTGTACAAGGTGGCTACTGTGCTCCAGATCTTATCTCCTTCCAGATCCAGTTACAGAGGGCATGTGCCCCCTTCCCAGTGCCTGAGGTCTCATGGCATCCCATTGCCTCTGGCTGGTCACATGACCATTCTCTAAACCAATTGCTATGGCCGGGGGGAGGTCAGCCTAGGCTCTAAGTTCCTAGCCCACCCCTCATGGGTTGGGAGTGAAAAAAGCAATGGAGCCCTGAGGTAAAATAGGGACAGTTTCCAGAAGAAAGGGCAGTGGCTCCTGGGGAGCCCCCCTCTTCCCCCTCCCGCTGCTGACTCCATGGCCCTGAGAGGTTCATTTTATGGGTCTTTCAGGCACAATCCTTGTATGAGCCTACGCCCCCCTCAGAGCCCCAGCTGCCCTGGGTCTGCTCAATTCACGCTGTGCTGTGCCCACTGCGGTTTGGCCTTCCCAGAAGCATCTGCTGTCTGATCTGCCTGAGCCCTTGGGCCTCCCCCAAGAATGTGAACTGTTTGAAGTCAAGGATTCAGCATTTGTTCACTCAGCAGATGTTGGTTAAGCACCTACTCAGATCAGGCACCGTTTAAAGCACTGTGGGTACAGCAGTAAACAACATAGATCAAGCCCTTGCCTCCTTGGAACTTATTATGTTCAAGTTGGAAACGAAGTCAACAAATGAACAAGACCTCTGGTGTCTTTAATATATAAGTAAAGCAGGGAATGGGGTTCAGGGACTGTGGCTGGATGGGACTGCTATTATGGGTTGGGGAGTGATGCCTCTCTATTAAGATGCACAGACACAGATACCTGAAGGAAAGGAGGGAGGGAGTCATGTGGATCTGAGGGAAGAACAGTCCAGCCAGAAGGGACAGCAAGTGCAAAGGCCCTGAGGCAGGAGTGTGCTTAGAGTGTGTGAGGAACATCACGGGAGCCAGTGAGCTTGAGTGCTGTCAGAATAGGAGGGAAGGATGGGAGAGGAAGTCAGAAAACTAGTGGGTCATGTTGGGGACAGGGGTGGGGAGGAGCTACAACAAATAGGGCCTTGTTGGTCGCCATTAGGACAGGCTTTTACCTGAGTGGAACAAAGGAGTGATGTAATCCGCTCAGGTTGTGAAAGGCTCCCTCGAGCTGCTGAGTGCAGAATAGATGGTAGAGCGGGTTTCTGAGGAAGCTGGGACCAGCGAGGGGCCTTCTGCGGGAATCCAAGTGAAAGATGAGGGACTGTCAAGGGCGGGGGGAAAAAATGGACACATATGTAATACCCTTTGTAATACTTTAAGCAATAAAAAAAAAGAAAGAAAGATGACGATGGCTGGGATCAGGGTAGGAGTGGGGAGAAGTGGTCGGATTCTGATATATTTTAAAGATGAAACAACAGGAGTTGTTGCTGGATTGGGATGTGGAATATGAGAGTATGAGAAGAGTCAGGATAGAGCCAGGGTCTTTGACATAGGGCACGGGGTGGGACCATGGAATTGCCGTTTACCAACATGGGAGAGGTCAGGAGGAAAAGAAGGGATTGCGTTTCGGACACATTAGGTCTGAAGTGCATCACAGACAACCGAATGGCAGTGTGGAGTGAGGGGGGAGATGTGCAAGTTGGATTTTAAGAAACAGATCGGGGCAGGAGGTTTAAGTGTAAACGTCACCCGCAAAGAGGTATTTTATTTCTATTTGTTTCTCAAGTTCCCACCCAGAACAGGGCATGATACAGAGCTGGGGATGCTATGACGATGAGGACATCAGAAGTCATCACTTCTATTTCATGAGCTCTGTGCTGAGGGCTTAGGGACATTAGCTTGTTCAACTTCCGATGAGCCGTGAGGCCGGCACAATTGCGACCCTGGTTTCCAGATGAGGAAACGGAGATTCAGAGAGAGTGTCAGTCATCCAGCCTCAGAGGGCTGCAGGGGCTGTTTGCCCATGTGTTTATGGGACCATCAAAACCATGGCCCCGGGACCCCGGGCCCCAGCTGCCTGACCAGACCCAGCACTGACCCCTGTGCATCCTTCCCTCCCTCTGCTGCAGCCTGTGACCAGCTGGCACTGGGCGTGGTGGCGATCTTCGGGCCATCACAGGGCTCCTGCACCAACGCCGTCCAGTCCATCTGCAATGCCCTGGAGGTGCCCCACATCCAGCTGCGCTGGAAGCACCACCCGCTGGACAACAAGGACACCTTCTACGTGAACCTCTACCCTGACTACGCCTCTCTCAGCCACGCCATCCTTGACCTGGTTCAGTACCTCAAGTGGCGGTCGGCCACCGTGGTCTATGATGACAGTACAGGTGGGTGGCCAGGCCTGACCAGGCTGGGGTTAGGGCACAAGGGGGCAGAACCCCGGGATCGAGCTCCTCACTGCTCGCCCAACTCGGCTGCCCCTGGGGAAAGGGTTCTCTCTCACTCTCCAGCTTCACTCAGTCACGTCGATGCTCATCTCTGCTCACTCAGCCCTGTGCACACCCGCCACATGCCCACTCACCCAGCCCCAGCCCACCTCGAGCCTGCCTCACACCTTCCCACCCACCTGCCTCCACCCAGCAGCATGCTCACATCCGTACTCAGCACACTCGCCCTGCTCCTAGCACCTGCACCCACTCCTGCTCAGCCGCACCCACACCTGCCTGCTTTCTCACACTCACACGGTTCCCTCTGTGCAGGCGTTGAACTCAAACCCTCCAGTGCACGTGCGCCGGCTCTGACGCTTACTAGCTGGGCAGCACGGGCCTGTTTCCTCTCTTCTTTCCTTCCAAAGACTCAAGTCCCAAATGTTTCTTAGTCCCACCTCTTAAGAGAGAGTGACCTTGGCAAGTCACTTAACCCATTTGGCCCCGCTCTCCGCACATCAGGCGAGAGCTGCGGCATCCGGTCCGGAAAGAGCCCTCCAGCTCTCAGCAGCCTGTGATTCAGTGTCAGCTCGATTACCTCCACATGCGGCGTGGGAATCAGACACTCAGGAAAGACATTCCGAAGTTGTTGATTTTGCTCGGGATTCGACCACCATCTGTTGAGGTCCTGCCATACCCAAAGCACCAGGCAGAGGATCCTGGAGGGCAGCGACCCCCACCCCTCTCAGGGCCTCCCGCACTAGTTCCCTGCCATTGAGGGGTGCTCCTGCCCAGCTCCAAGTCACCCCCAGTGTTTGTGCAGCCTGTAGGCTTATCTGTCTTTACATACCACTGTGAATGGTTGTCTTTGAGCCTGTCTCTCCTTCCAGACCATGAGCTTTCTGGGCCTCCAGGGTCTAGCACAGGGCCTGGTACAACACAGATGTTTATAAAGGTTTATTGAACTGAATCGAATTGAGTTGAATCGAATCAAAAATCAAGTTGAAATAAACTATAATTAAATGTTATTAGGAAACAGTGTGTTGGACACTGGAAAGAAAGAAGAAATGAGGATGCAATTATACCATCTTATTTTGAGAAGTTGATCAGGCTGTTGTAACTGGAAATTGAGAAGTTGCCATTGACTAGTTCCTCCCAAATCTCAGGTCACCTCACTGGACTGGCGCATGGTCACCCAAACAAAATCATGGTTCTCTCAGCATGCTAGAAGGGGTATACCAGTTACCTTTGGACAATACAGATGCTGCTTGGCTTATGATGGGTTTATGTTCTGATAACTTGGCCTAGAAGCCAAACGATGAATCTCTAGTTTTGACCCCATTGCTAGCATGCTGTGAAACCTTGAGAGGGTCACTTAACCTCTCTGGGCCTCAGTTTCCTTCTCTGCCACATGGGGACATAAGCCCCTCACCTGCATGCTTTCTAGGACAGGGAGACGGGTAAGTCGGGTAATGAATGCGGAAGTGCTTTGTAAGTGGAAAACATGATCCCAGCAACATGATTCACTGCAGATATTTATTCCAACAACATGATTCACTGCAGATATTTTGAGAGAGATTGATTAGGGAAGCAGCCAGGAAGGAAAGCTCATCTCGGGCGAACAAAAGAGCCTCGTCTTCCGCTGGGTTGGCCGAGACGAGCCTCTGGGCTCCTTCGGGAATACGCTGATGGGAAGGAGTTCTGACACTTGCTGCTGGAGAATGTGGGTCACCGACTGTTACACGGGGCATTGCACCTGCCTGACAGGACGACTGGCGAGCTCTGCTCCAGCACCCAGGCTGTCCCCGCCCTCCTGTCCTGGGTGCCTGCGGATGCCCATGTGCCTGCGGATGCTGGGCGTGAGTCTGAAAACCAAGCACGTGGGATCACTGTGTGCACTCTGGGTCTTGTGGGGAGCAGGCGCGAGCAGGCAGCATCCGTCAGCCAAACGAAGGGGTTCTGAGATTCGCGTGGGTGGAGGGGAGGCTGGGTGTGTGTTTGCGGGGAGCTGTGACCCCCTCCCTCCTCTGCTGAGGTCCCCTGGTATCCTCGCCCTCTTCCCCATCAAGTCTGGTATGAGGAGGCCCTGGGCCCCTATGGATCCAGCCACTCAGGACCCCCCGAGCCCTCTCCCAACCCAGCCACCTGAATCTGAGGCCTTCGCGGGGCTGGGCTCCTGATCCCACAGCCATGGCACAGCTTGTTTGGGAGGCTTCGGTCTCCGGGTTCTATTTCTGTCCTCCCCAGCACAGTGACATGAAGGACACCAATCAGATCGCATTCCTGACTCCGGCACTCAGGACAGGAATGAGAGGCTGAACAGACCCAGGCGTGTGTCCCCGAAATAGTTTTGGAAACAGGGGCTCTCTGTTGGAAGGCATCTTAAGTGGGCTGTCCATAGGGCAGGGGGTGAGGGGGGTTGTGTGGAGAGCATAGATAAACTCTGCCCAGACAGGGGACACTGTAACAGTTGATGGCAAACTTTAATCCAACACAAACTAGCTTAAGCAAAAAAAAAAGGGGGGCGGGGGGGGGGCGTTGTTGGCTGTTGTAACTGAAAGTTGAGTAAATATAGCTTCAGGTACTGGTTGATCCAGAGGCTTGAATGGGTATCATCCGGCCTTACTTTCTCCCCGTTTGGCCTCTCTGACTCTGCCCCGTTCGAATCCTTCTCGGGTCCCGTGTGGTGACTCCCAGGCTCACGTCCTCCTTGTTTGGAGTTGAATGGAAAGGGGGGCATATCTCACCATTTACCCTGGCACTGGACGTCACTCTGAGGACCAGCTGGGGGCACCTACCCTCTCTAAGCCCATACTCCTGCCTGATGGGCCAGGCTGGGGCCACCTGCTGAGCCTTGGAAGCTGGAGATGGGTCCTTCCTGGTCAGACGGCCTGAGAGAGAAGGGGGTCGTTCCCCACAGGAAAATCAGTGTGTTGTCATTGGGGGCGTGGAGCACACTGAGTGCACAGGGCAGCCGGGACTCAGCCCCGGAGCCCCGATTATGAGGAGGGGTCAGCAGGTGCTGGTGGTGAGTAAGGACCTGCTTGGGCCCCTGGCCTGATGCTGGCTTAGCCGCTCCTTAGATTGGGGTTGGAGGGAGAGAGAGCAGCCAGCAGGCTTGCTTCCAGGCTAAGCAGAGAGGC